TACTCATTCTTCTTTGGACGTGCTAGAGATTTTCCTCGGTGATCTGAGTGGTAGGCGTGTGTTATGAAGCTCTCTCGGCTAGGACTCATATACTTGATGCCCTTATAAAATTTGCTGGTGATGTCGTTGTTGGGTGTGATAACCTCGGTTGTGCATGCTCTTTGTTTGGGTGTGGACTAGGTTGCTCATTGTCCTTAGGTTGCGTCAATACCTTTTAGGCGGCATGGTTTGGTCTTGTCCGCTTGGAGCTCTTCATCTAGGATGGCGGAGCATCTCGAGCATCCCGCCACTAGTGAAGCCGAGGAAGTTGAAGTTCCGTTGCTTCTTCCTTTTTTGACGTGGGCCTTATTGTCTTCTTGACGCAACTTGTATTTTTGGTCGTTGCACATGATGTATTCCAAACACTCTTAGTGAAATAAAACAAACCGATGGTGTTTTTCGTAAAAAAAACTTGCATTCTTCTAAACCGTCATAACCAAAGCCATGCGGAAAGAGACTCAGATGTAGATTATGAAGAAACCACTAGTAGAAAACAGGGCTTTGGTTGGGGCCTGGCCAGCCCATTAGTCCCGGTTCAGTCACGAAACGAGACCCATGGGGGGCATACGTCCCGGTTCGTGCGCCCAGGGGGCCGGCCGGACCTCGTGGGGCATTGGTCCCAGTTCGTCTGGACCCATTTGTCCCGGTTCCAGGCACGAACCGGGACCAATGGCCCTCGCTCCTGGCACACAGTCATTGGTCCCGGTTCATGACTGGAACTGGGACAGAAGAGGGGACATTAGTCCCGGTTCCAGCCACAAACCGGGACCAATGAGTTGCCTATATATACCCCATCGCCGCAGCAGAGCACTCCACACTGCTCTGCTTTTTCTGGCCGGCGAGGGGAGTGCTTTGTGGTGCTCTAGCTCACCTTCTATGGACATGAGGTGTTCGATGAAATGCCCGAGCCACACTAGTTAAGCTTTCTCCTCTCGAAGCTTGACCTTCAAGCTCCATTTTCCCTGAGATTTGTCTAGGTTTAGCGGTCCGTCACGTCCCGTCCCCGTCTTCACCGCCGTCGATCGCCCGCGCCGATCTCGTCGCCGGCACCACCGTGGTGAGCCTCTTGTTCTTAACTTCTTTATGAAAAAAATACTTACTTTTGATAGATACTTGTCTATTTTTCTTACTTTTATTATTGCTTATTATTATATAGTGCGATGGTTTTGGTATCCGCCCCCGTCGGCCCTCGTCCTGTTCCACCGCAGCGCCGCCAGGTCGACGCTGGATACCTTGCGGCTGCACATCCATGACAACTTTGGCCGGATCACGACCTACGGCCGATGGGTTCGCCGCGGCCTCAGGTGCTCCCCGGAAACGCTCGACGTCTCCCACGGCGGAGAGCGCGGCGTTGTCGTGTTACCTCCGCTGTCTTCCTCCTCCGGTGCCCATCGCCTTACAAAGCTACTCCTTGTTCGCGTGCTCCTCCCCTGGAATTTCGAGGAGCTGCTCAGCTCGGGCCTTCCCGTCCTGGAAGACCTGGAGATCAGGAGCAGCTATTTTTCTTACTTTTATTATTGCTTATTATTATATAGTGCGATGGTTTTGGTATCCGCCCCCGTCGGCCCTCGTCCTGTCTATGATTCGGATGTGGTATATATTATCTTTTATAACTATTTGGTTCATTTATTGTTTATGACAATTATGTCGACCAACGTGACATAGATTTTATTTATCTAGGAGGTATGTGAACCGGAAATTCCAACCGACCCTGTTGTCGAGAGGCTAAATTTAGTTGAAGAAGAAAACAATTACTTGAAGGAAAAAATAAAAAAAATTAAGGAGGAGAAGATGATATTGGAGTTGCATGTTGCGGATGTCGTCGATGATCACAAGATCAAGATGGACGCAATGCATTTGAAGATTAGAAAGATTAGAAAATATGCCATTCATACCGAGGCTTGATATCATTATGCCGTTGGATCAATTGTTACCTTGGTTGCGATTATGATCGCATTTGTTGTTGCATTGAAATGTTTTACATAGTTTTAATGTATGGTTTAATTAGATGCTCTGGAGAGCTATATGTTGTTCAATGAGAATTAGGTTTAATTATCAAATATGGCACTGAACATTGTGCAATTGTTCTAAACATAACTACGCGAGCAAGGAAGATTCCAGCAGTGGGGCTAGCAATCCTTTGAAATAGAATCGGGTCAGGATCTAGGTTTCGATGGCCGATGTACACCCCTTGTTGATGTCGAAGAGGGAGAAGTTGTTGAAGGAGTAGCGGCTGTAGACCTTGCGCTTCGTCTTGGGGTTGTACTCGACGATGGACGCCATGACCCGCTTGTGATCTAGGCCTCGCCGCCGTCTCTCCTCCGCCTTCCGCGCCTTCTCCTCTTCCTACCGCGCCTTCTCCTCCTCGGCCTCCTCCTCCTCCTACGCGGCGGCCAGCATCGCCACCTCGCTAAAGAAGAGGTCCTCCCAAGTCACCTTGACCAGATCCTCCTTCCCTACGCACGCCATGAATCCCAATTCCCCGCCGTCGCCGTCGCCGTCGCCGCCAAGGCCGATGAAGCTAACCCTAGGTCGCCGGCCGCGGTCGAGGCCTTCCCGACTCCTCCGTTTTATTCCTTCCGCCGTTGCTGCTTCGGGCTGGGCCTTATTAATCTTTTTCCATCCACGCACCACGTGCGAGGGGGTAAGTAAAGGAGGCCCATAAGCTATAGTGCACTCTGTTCGCCAACCTGATCTACGGTCCAATCAAAGTCGCTCACATACACGAGCATACATTCATTCCTATAAATGCACTCATACACACCTTACTTATGGAGATTGTCAAAGAATTCCGTTGCCGACAGAGGATGTTCGAAAGCACAGGAAAATGTCACACCATGACCATTGTTTTGCATGTGGGGCTCAAGACTCATGGCGACATAGCCTCATTGAGTGCACCATGGCACGCTGTGTATGGGTTTTAGACTTTTATTGGACCATGACCTTTTGAAACACATGATCGCAACAACGGAATTAGATGCTAAAGACTGCCTCTTTTCTATGATAGATGTCCTAGTCATGATGAATTCACACGGATGTCGATCACTTTTTGGGCAATATGTTATGCGAGAAGGGAGCTTATTCATGAAGGGATTAATTAGAGTCCGTATAAAACACATAGATAGATGTCCTAGTCATGATGAATTCACACGGATGTCGATCACTTTTTGGGCAATATGTTATGCGAGAAGGGAGCTTATTCCTGAAGGGATTAATTAGAGTCCGTATAAAACACATAGATTTGTTTCAAGCTTTATCTCGAACTTGGATCAGCTTTCGGGAACACCAAAAGCACCTGGTATGATTCGGACTACATGCAATAATGGGTAACATCGCTGGATCCCGCCTGCTATAGGACAAATACAAATTAATGTTGATGCGGGACTATCAGTGGAGCACAACGTAGGCACAGCAGCAGCAATTTGCCAAGACCATCTTTTGTCGAGACCGAGATGGTTCCTATACTGGGTCTTCGGTGCTAGTGATTCATGGCATTGCTGATCCTGCTACTCCTAGAAGATAGAGGCTTTATCGTTGGCGCGAGACTTGGACAAACAAACAATCATATTCGTACAATCACATGTTGGTTTGTCGGTCCAGTCAGTTTTGGTATACAGTACGATGGTTTACAGAAGGTTTTTATTTCCCGACCGATATTTTACATCAGCCGGTTTTTCATTTCTGTCGCTCTGTTCGGAAGGAGAACGATCCATACAGTCCAATCGGTTCTGATGTACAGTACAATGATTTACAGACGGATTTTAATTTTCGGCCGATATTTTACATCAGCCGGATTTTTTGTTCCCTCGGGTTTTTTTTAAATACTCATAAATTTTTAAAATGTTCACAAATTTTAAATATGTCTATGAATATTTTACGTCAGTAGGTTCCTCGGCTTCCATGCAGGTTTAATTACATGCATTTTCTTGAAACACGAGAATATTTGTTCATTATCAGAAACATTTTTTTGAAAGCTATATCATCATTTTTTTAAACTGTGTAACAAAATGTTTATACTATGTTAAGATTTTTTTTCAAGCTCATGATTTTAAATTCGATAAATAAATTCAGGTTTCCAAAATATATGCAATTAATTTTTAATTGTTTTAGGGGATGCATAAAATGTAAATAAAGTAAAAATGAGGAGAAGAAAATAATTTCGGCTGACGTCAGGAAGAGGAGGCACGTCGTAGTGGGCCATGAACGCAACTGCTCATCATCAAGCCCAATCATACACCCCTGGAAGAAAAAGCCCAATCATATTGAACTGAGGCCAACAGTAAAAAATCACATAAAAAAACCTATCAGAGCCAGGTTTCGATCCTGGGACCTGTGGGTTATGGGCCCATCACGCTTCCGCTGCGCCACTCTGATTTGCTTGTTCAGAGTTGCAATGCTATTGTACTTCAACGTTTGGTGATTAACAACAAAAATAACGCACACTAGATACGGCTTCTAAACACAATCCTGTAGCTCAGTTTTCTAGGTCAATCAGATGCCATAAACACTGAGAATTTGGACACCTTTACAACCTGGCTTTCTCAACTGTCAACCACATCAAATCCATGTCACAATTTCAACCAGAAGCAAAATCAAGTTATTTGTAAAAACAGAAGAAATGTTTTTAGCTCCATTTCACACATACAACAAATCGGGACTACCAAATCAAGCAAATGCCATCGGATTCGTACAGGTTTCAACCAGCGGCAGAACCTGCTCCCACGGCATCGTGCACACGCACAGAAACACACAAATATGAAGGTCCCAAAAACAAACCCACATTTGCAGTTTGGCAACTTCCCATAATACATTTCCAGTCTTCGGTGGACCTCGAGCGGGTTTTTTACTCGTCGCAGAATCCAGTCTGACCAGGAATCGGATGCAAACTCACCCTGTCGTATCGTCTTTCTTCAAAACACTCAGGGCTTCAGCTAAGCCTCTCAACATGTTTTTTCTGCGCATCATGCATCCATCTTAAGCGACCCCAGCCGTCTGGTTCTTTGGTCAAGCTCCGCCATGACCACCGTCTCGTGCCGTTTCCTTTCTTTTGTGATTGTGTTTGTTGTCATGGAGCCAATCTTATCAAACGCAAACTAGCAAAAAAAGGGGGAAATGATAAATCAGATTCTAGTGTGTGGCAATCAATTGCTGCAAGCATGCAATATCTACTTGATAAATAACAGATAGATAGCTCTAAATACTGCTGACTTTTACTTTACTATGATTTCTTAGTGTCCCAACTACATATGCTTATAACATTGTGCATCATCCTTGACTACTTCACCGTATCTGTCGGCACAAAAGATGGAATATTTACCGTGAGCAGTTCATCAGGCTCATATAAGTGATGGGCAGTTGTCTGCAGAACATCAATTACATCACCAATATGTTGGATGCGTAGAAGATCGTCTTCTCTCATCTGCATATATCCAATAACTTATGAAACATGGTAACAAAGTGATGCCAAACAAGTAGAAGGAATTCAAACACTTTGGGAAAACATGCAAAGAGGAGATTTCCTGAGTGCACACCTTGAAAATTGCTAGGGCGACATGGAACAAGACCTTTGCTCCTTCATTGAATAACACATCCCACACACGGAGGGTTGTCTGTTCACAAAAAAAAATGGTAAATGTGAAATGGTTTTACAGTGAATTCTGTACAGATCATTGACGAAAGAGATAAATACTGATAACAAGTAAACTCTTGACTAACCTCGGATGGCAATGTTTTGGAGAAGAGGCACAAAAACCATTCTGTGGCAACAAGTGAAACATCAAACCCCATTGCATCAAGATGAGCAGCAATCCTGTACCATTTGGAAAAGCCAATATAATTCACAACCATAGCATTGTAAGTGAGAAATGATAGCATAAATGCTGAAGGAAAAAAAAATACCTGGGGCATTTTTTAGCTAGAAGATCTTTGAATACTCTCTGCTCAACATGGCATCCAGAAAGAGTATCAGTATAACAATCACTGACAAGAACATTTTCCAAGAGTACGGCAAGCATCCAGAATGCATCTTCCTCTGTCTTCATAACGAGCAACAACAGAGCGGCTACATAATTCAAACCCTGTAGTACATACTGTTAGGAGATGCTAGGTGAGTTAAATTACATTTGATGAACAAGAACCTGGCACTGCAGCTACCTGGCAATATCCAACTTCTGAATCACGGAATGAGTACCCAGCAAGTACACGTCGAAGAGATGCCTGACCTTCCTCGCTGTTCAACCAGGGATGGCAAGGGAAGGTGCGAGGGAGATCCTGTAATGGCAAAGCATTCAGTTTTACTTCACAGGTTCACCGAATTAGTGTACATAAAGCCGGATATGTGCTGATAAGTGAGCGCAACAATCTGGATACGACAGTATAAAGCTACATATTTAGATCAAAATAAGAAGGGCTCTTGCAGCAACAAGTATGAATAATAGAAGAATGCTGCTTCAAACATCCTCAAACCAATGAAGCATATAGAAACCAAGTATTCATATGGATGAAGCCATCTGATGCTTGTTTGCAGGATGTCGCTCATTAATAATTTTATCAAGGCATACACTTATTCTCTAGAAAGAGATCGATGTACTCTATTTGTTCCTAGTACGTAGAAAGGTATGTACTTACATGGTCAATTTGGCGAGTGGCCGGTGTAGTTTTCCCTTCCGTGGCCCTGATCAGCTCGTCATAGTATGTCTCAGGCACTGTCGACCGTTTCTTGGCTGCACCTGACACCGACAGCCATACCTTTGGCCTCAGCGCTGGTGGCACCCCCTTCCTGATCAGCCTCCTCAGTGTAACTGTATTTGTGAGCACTGATAGCTTGAGCGACGTGACACTAATCACACCCTGGCCACCGTTGGAGGAGATCCTGGGCTGGAGGTACCAGTTTGCGCCCTTGCTTGCCTCCAGCGCCCACCACACCCTCCCTTGCTCCCTTATCCTCTCCCTCACCTCGTTCAGCACATTGACATCGTCCACGTTGCCCTCCACCATGAAGCCACAGAGATCCTCAAACTTGACCGACATGTGGTAGGTGTTGGCATGGCCCTTCCGGGGCCTGCTAGTGTGGCTGGTGGTGGGCATGGATGCAGGTGGCGTGGTCCACAATGACCACCTCCTCCTCCTCGGGTTGAAATCATCGTCTGACACATCCCTGGGTTGGATCCCAAACATATTCTTGTCCAAAAGTCTGATGTTATGCTCTAAATGTATCTTTATTTAAAATCAATCTACTCCCAGAATGAAGCCTGTTGTGTAATGCTTCCTTGGTTTCCTTTCTCGCTGTTGACCCCTACAACAATTCCAGCAAACAAAACCAGAGTTGATTAGTTGTCATAACCAAAATGTAGAAAAGACACGCGGAAATGTAAGCTCGAAAAAACAGCGCACAAATCCCATCCAAATCTATCCTATTCAGCCAAGACTTGCTCGGATTCTCGCTCCAAGGTCCTTTCGTGTATCCTGCTTGCGTAAACGTGCGAGAATTGCTCGCACACGCCACTGATTCAGTGCCTTCCAAAAGTTACTGAAGAGTATCACAATTCTTTGTCGATTGAACAGGGTTTTTTTTCATCTTCAATCAAATTGCCGGTGACCAATTCACATTTTAGCAAACAGGTTTGCTGTCGTAGGCCGTGGTGAATCGCTCTTGAAGAATGGGTGAAATTGCTAGCAACCCTGCAGCACTAGTGCAGTAGAAAGCTCTAGCTTTATTCACTTGTAATAATCAAACCCTGCAAGAACTAGAGTACCATCTTACATAGTAGAGACGAGCTTTGGATTCAGCACAAGCCATGGCGCAGGAAAAGCATACGCTGCACATGAAGTGTGGGAGTAACAGAGAAGAAGAAGGGTGGTAGTACCTGGCTAGCTGTAGCAGCTGGAAGAAGGAAGGGTGCCGAGGTCACCGCCGCCGCCGCACCGGATGTCTGGATCTGCTGGGGCCGCTCACCGCCGCTGGAACCCCAATCCCAACCCCAACTCCACCTCCACGAGCTCAAACCGAGGCCGGGCTCCGCTACCGCCGGCCGGCAGAGCACTCTACTCCCGCTCGCGGCACCACGGACCGCACCGGACCTCCCCCCGCTCTCCGGCCGTGAACAGGCCCGATTCGGCCGGAACGACCCTTGCCGCCGGGGTGTCGCGACCGCAGCAGACGCGAGTGGAGCGCCGGGACGGGGGACGGGAGTGGCCGGTGCGGCGGATCACAGGATCGACCGTGACGCGCTCGCGACCTCCTCCATCGAAGGCGAGCACGGCATTGTGGTGATGGGATGGGGGAGGAAGCGGTCGGTGGGCGATTTGGTCAGAGGATTAAAGGAGAAATGGAAAATGATGGATCGATCAAATCAATTTTGTATACTAGCACGGGACGGGATGGATTGGTGAGGAGAGGACCAAATCAATCAAGAGTTGTTGGTGGTGGCGAAATGAAATAAAAAGGGGATCTTTTTTGGATTACTAGTTCGCAGTACGTGCGCGCCTGCTCAACGGGAGGATTGGCTGGTTGTCTTCTTGGTGTACCGAAAAGGGTAGGGTTGTCTTTTTGCTCACCCCTAAGACGTGGGTTCTTTTTTTTTCTCAGAGAAACCCCCAAGATGTGGTGGGAGGGAGAGTTCATCGCCTTCATTTGGACGGGCTCGGCTTTGCTTGACCTCGCAATTAGGTTTTTTTTAGACAAACCGAGTAATTAGTAAGCTCGATAAATGCTAATGTAGTCTAGTTTTAACCAGGCCATGGGCCGTTCCGGCTGTCGTTGACAAGGCTAGGCCGGCTTCGGTAGAGGAGCGGCTTGTTCTGACAACAGTAGTCCTCGTTTAGCAGTACAACATCCTAGATGTAATTTTTTAATTTGTTTAGCATGTTTTTGTAATTTTTTTTATGAACCTTTATAATAGAACTGGTCTTTTTCTGCAACAAAAAAAAATAGACGATGGCCGTTCAATGTCTTCTCCCTTGGCTCCACCCGCCAGGGAGCTCCAAGTCGCCGCAGAGGCCAATCCGTTGCACAGAGACATGGATGTAGAAGATGGAGAGGAAAGCAGAAGAGAGATGGTGGGCGGTTGCCGATTGACGGCGTATATACAGCCGGAAGTGAGGGATGTTAGAGAGTGGAGGAAAAATCATAATGTACCCTTGACAGTGTTCGTTCTTTCGTTAAACTCGTTGAACCTAGCGCAAGCTAAACATAACGAATCATTGGGCTCACCGACGAGCGAGCGACCAGAAAAAAAAGCTTTCTATCCACACTCGTGACGATGAGTAAATTGCAAAAGCCATCATAATTAGGGACCCCACAACTTTATGTTTTTTTTCTTCAGAATACTGCCACCATTGTGCTGACAATTTTCAAAAAAACGCGGATTGACCAATTAGAGCGGTTTGAGTGGAAACCTGACGCCTAGGCCCTGCATGTAAGTGATGACATGGCAAGGAAGTTCAACAACTTCTGAATGTACCGTTAAGTTGATATAGGCCCACTTGTCAACATCTTCCGTCTCTCTCCATTCCTTCTTTGGCATTCCGTCGAGCAGCTCGCGGGCTAGCCGAAGAGCTCGCTACTGGCAGCGTTGCTCACCCATGGCTGTTACGGCGGTGGACGATGCAGAGGGCGGCATTCTGGAGGAGCTCCACATCGGAGTCGGCGGTTAGTGACAACTGGCTCAGATCGTGGCTCCTCCGCTTCCCATCCCCAGCTTCCTCCCTCCTCGTCATGGATCCAGGGAGCGACATTGCTGGCGCAGGTCCGGTCGGCGGTGGGCTGGGTGAGCCGGAGCTCCACGACGTTGGGCAGCTCGGCCAGGAGTAGATGGCGGCTGCACTGCGAGGCAGGCTTGCCGGTGGGCGACTATCATGCGGGCACCGATGCGCTACGGCACGACGATGGCCGGGTGTGATTTTGACTGGTCAAACTTTAGGGTGTTGGATACTGCGCCATTGGTATACGTGCGTGGTAAACGCCATCTCCACCACAGCCACGCGGCACCTGACTGTGGGACCTGCCTGTCAGATTTTGCATCAAACTGCTTTAATCGGTCAATCAGTGCTTTACTAAAACCTCAGCACAATGATGACGGTTTAAAAAAAATATGTGGTTTTCTTAGTGTCCTGATGGCGACAGGGCCACATGTTTTCCTTCACCTATCACCTCTGCCGCCCAACCCGACCGTGCGCAACGCGGGCGTAGCGAATTTAAGTCGTCCATTGAATCAGTAGTAGTCCGTTGCACTTGCACTTGCACGTGACTCTCCAAAACCTTCCATGTGGTAGCATTTCCCTTCCGTTAGCGAGTCTATTATGTGAATTGGGTCCATCGAACGTGCCACGGACCATTCGGCAGCTAGCTAGCTACCCGTCTAATTATTAACTCGTATAATATAGAGGTGATCGAGATCATGAACGAAGGAGGACGATCGTCGGGGACAGCAGCTGCAATTTTTGATGACTGTTTTCACTTAGCTTGCGATTTTCCTATTTCTAGATTGGAGCATTGTAATAGAGAAGCAAATAAAGTTGCTCATGAACTTGCCAAGTTGGCTAGATCTTCATTCATTTCTGATTGGTTCGAGGAACCACATAATGCAATTGTACCAATCCTCATAAACGATGTAATGATTATTTCTAATGAATAAAGCTCGAACTTTCTTTCAAAAAAAAAAAAAGCTATCCGTCTTCGGATCACATATTTATTCATTTGTATATATAAATCCGCATTCAGCCGGCATGTTGATATACTCGATTCTCTACCAAGCATGAAGCCAAAACTATCTATTATTGGAACGTGTCTTAAATTAAGCACAACGAATTTGTCAAGGTGATTATTCTAATCCCAGGGCATAGAGCCAACAATGGTTTTGCATGTGCCTACTACGTACGATGTCTCTTCTCCTATATTATTGTTTGGCGTCATAGGATTCAAGTCTAATCACAGCGATTTGCCGTTTGGCACTGCTAGGATGTCATCCCCGAGGTTAAAAAAAAGAATCTGCTTTCCCCCTAGCCGCCATATGCATGGTTGCCTCTCGGCTGCTCCCATCGCCG